CAGACGAAGAAGAAGTATTGCCTTTCAAATTTTCCTCCACATCAGACATTTTTGTATTCAGCTGGAAGACCAGAGGAAATGGAGCCAACACTTTTTTTTTGACTTTTTTCAGTTTTGAAACAGCAGTTAACGTAATCTGCCAGCTGGTGAAAGTCAGTTCTCGGGCGGACAAACGCCACAACAGTGACTCGTACAATATTGCTGTTCGAAAGGCCTTTGATGCAGTCGCAGGACGAGAGCTACGACTTAGACACATACACATTAATATTTCTCTGACATGGGAAACTGTAGGGCTGTCACTTTTAGTGAAAGAAAATTTAAATTTGGATGATTTTATTGTGACTTAGCAGACTTTCTGCTTTGATGTCCAATCATAAAAAAGTGCCAGCAAATAACACCAGAAGCAATGGTTCTGTTCATCTCTAGGAGGCACCATGTGCCATGACAGCTGGTGTTGTCTTTGTGCCCAACGCAAATAAATAATTTCTCAACAGGCACAGAGGCATTATCAGCTGGCAAGAAATAGTACCATAAAAAGAAGCACATTTTCAGTTCTGGAGAACACCCAAACCCAAACTAAGGTGGCTTACAGATGTTTGATGGTGATTTTTATTTTTGCCGGATTAATGAGCAGCATTATCTCCTGCACAGGCACAGAAGTATTTAGCAGTAGCCAATGAGATTCAAATTTCTGAAGACGCTTTTATGAAAATGTCTTGAGCAAAAGGCAACTCATGCACAGGCACAAAGGCATTCATAGATAAAAACAACACAAACTAATGGTCCTTTGGGGACTTTGGAAGTCAACATATGCTATATTTCAGACATGTTGTGGTCTTTTTGAGCCAGAATAAAGAAAAGAAGCTGCTCGTGCACAGACACAAAGGCACCTTCGCAAGAAGGTAACATCCCTTAAAAGAATGTATTGAGGTGCCACAAACTACTTGATGTAAGCAGTCTCTCTGAGCTGTGCAGACACAGAGGCATTGATAGCCGGCATGCAATGCTATGGTATAAAAGCAGGAGGTTTTAGGCTTTCTCACAAAAATGCAACATATGCTAACTTTTTCAACAGTGGACTTTTGGACTTTAGTGCTGATTTCTGTGAGCAGCATGCTCCTCATTATTTGCCAAGTAATTGTTTAAAAAAAAGTGACAGCCCTAGATGAGGGGTAGAAGGAATTAACAGTGCTGGAAGAGAAACCAACACTGCACCAAAGAGTAAGAGTGTGACATTTACCAAAGTTCATCAAAAAAAAAAACGATGCTTCAAAAGGCTGGATTCACTTTGCAGGACATTCTGCGTTACAGCAGTGAGCAGAAGTCAGACATTAGTTGGTCTTTGTGCTCTGCACAGGTTCTTCCCAGGGGAGTAAACGGTAGATAAGAAAAAGCTGGAACATTTTTGTTTTGTTTTTCTGACTGACGTATTCGGTAAGGCCACATTAAAAATGGAAACGTATCCGTAAAGAAGAGAAAGAAAAGAGACAGTTCTACAACATTCTCTGATACGTGACCCAAAGAGCAACAGGAATTAGATATGTAAGTGTGTACACAGTAAGAGTTTACAGTACTAAGGCTATTCTTTAAATCTACCATTATTACATGAGTTGGAAAAAATGACAAACTGACTTTTTTTTTCTTTAACCGTTAAAAGGCTGTGCTTTTTTTTTTGTTTTTTGTTTTTTTTTTATCTAAAACATTTCTGCAAATGTTGCTATGGCTCCGTGTCAGACGTTCTGATGTGTATTTTTTATTTGTATTTTTTCATTATCCAAAGGAGACATAAAGCACGTGCACAGCTTTCACTCGGGCCCCACCGACACGGATCTCTGGTTCCAGTCTGACTTGGGACTTTCTCTTACGAGTCCAGTCCTCTCCAACATTATTTTAGAAGACAGCTGGAGGTTCTGCAACTTGTCATGTTTCTTGTTTTACTTGTCCCTTGATGAATCCACTAAGGTGTGAAAGAGATGAACGCTCAGGGATTAGTGCGGACGTTGGTCATGCTTCGCGTGAATGGTCTCAGAGGAAAAACAAAAAAAAGGCAAACATTGGCACAGATCCTGTTGGGACTCAATCCAAACCAGAAAAGCAGAACTAAACAAGTTCTTTACTGCCCTCTGTCAATAATGACTCAAACTTCTCTACGCTCCAACTTTTCTACTGACACTCAGTTGAAGCGAAAACCAGAAACTCTGAAGACGTCTGAGCTTTCTCCATACGTTCTTCTTCCACTTATTTATGTCAGACTCAATGCTGATGCATTAGTTTGGTGAAAATAAAAACAAAAATAGGAAATTTCAGAAGATAATTCGATTCTGGAACAAGGATCCGTGTCGAAGAGGGGTCGGTGTGAATGCGCTGGCAGAGTACTGCAGGCAAGGCAGAGGCGTTGCTTAAAGCTATTTTTTTTTTAAAGACTTCATAAAAACCAAGGAATTGAAAAAATAGGCCCTCTGAGGTTCGTCCTCATCTTAGAAAAAAAAAAACTAAACACACAGACAATAAAAATTCAACAACTTTTGCCGCAAATAAACAAACCAGGTGTTCAGAATTTTTCAGAACAAGTGAGTATAAAAAACAAAATGTTCCATCCACAAACCTGGAGAAAAATAAGATACAAGGCTGGAACTTTGTTTGAACCTGGAAGGCTGGAACACAGAGACGGAGCTCAGAGGAATAGAAACTATTTGGTAACAAAAGTGTATCTATAGGTTGAATATACAAAAAAGGTATGGAGAAAAATGTACCTTTACTAAAGCTTATACAAGAAGATCCTTGGTCCATCTCATGGTCACCATCGATGTGTGTGTGTGTGTCCTACTGGGTCCTCTGATAACAACAACACCAATGTTGAGCTCCAGGTGTTTCAAGAAAACACAAATAAAAGGAAAAGGTTGTTGGGACGAAATGGATGAAGCGGAGCAAGGCAGCAGAGAGTAATACTTTCCTCTCCAGATTTTTGTTGGGTGTAGTTTTTGAAGAAGTTGTTGTTGTGTTCACACAGCTACAGGAAGGTGCTGGAGTTTTAGACAGAGACAATC